TTCCTGATGTCACCTCGGACCAAGGCATGGATAAAGGAAATTTTTTTGATTCCGTTATTGCAATACGAGGCAAGAGTTGCAGAACTAAAAGTTTGTGTTCAAAATCTCAAGAAGGCGAGAGATGTAGTTCAACATAAAGTTAAGGAGGAAGAAAACCGATATGGAAGAAGATTTGCAGATGTAGTTAAAGAATGGATAGAAGGGGTGGAGAAAATAATTTCTGATTATGAAGATTTTGATGGGGACGAATGCAATAAACATGCAGTGTTTGACTTCTCTACAAGTGGTTTCCTTCCTAAGCCCGGGATAAGGTATCATCTTAGCAAAAAAGCATTTAATATTACAAGGAAGGTTAATGAACTAGAGCAAAAAGCAAAGCATGATGCAGTTTCTTATTGGCTTGGTCCACCCTCCATGGTTGCCTTTTTTACTAATGTTGGTTATGAAAGCTTTCCCTCAAGAGATGAAACTGTGAACAAGATTAAGGCTGCTTTGGAAGACCCGAATGTTAGAATGATTGGAGTTTATGGGTTGAGTGGTGTGGGCAAAACCAGTTTGGTCAAAAGAGTTGCTAAGGAAGCCTTGGAAGCTAAGATGTTCGATGTAGTCACCATGGCAAGCATAACAAGGAATGCTGACATAAGAAAAATCCAAGGCCAAATTGCTGACATACTGGGGATGAAATTGGATGAGGAAAGTGACATTGCAAGAGCTGCTCGAATACAAGAGAGATTAAAGAACGAGAAAGAAAGCACCCTTATAATCCTGGATGATCTTTGGGCAGAAATTGACTTCACTATGCTGGGGATTCCATTCGATGGTGATGAAAGGAAATCCCCCCGGGCTCACAATATGACTGAAATGGAAAAATCCCATGTGGCTCAAATATGATGACAGTAGAACCTAGTGCTCTCAATATGATGAAATCCAAAAAACTCCCCAGTGATTCCAATAAGATGAAAACAGGAGAAACTCTTAGTCATTACACAGGGTGCAAAGTTTTGATGATCTCTGAGAGTAAACAAGTGTTAAAAAGTCATATGGAAGGGAAGGAAAACTCTATTTTCTCTGTGGAAGTCTTAAAGGAAAAGGAAGCAGAGAAGTTGTTCAAGAAAAAGGCTGGAATAGATGGTACAAATTCTTATTTGGAAATATTAGCAGCTCAAATTACCGAGAAATGTAATGGGCTGCCAATGTCAATAGTTACAACTGCAAGGGCATTAAAAAATCAGAGCCGCTCGGTATGGGAGAATATTAACCGAGAGCTTGAAGGGAAAAGGTTAATAGGAGCGGCTGAATTTTCTACAAAGTTGAGTTATGATCTTTTAGAAAACGAGGAGCTCAAATATAATTTCTTACTTTGTGCTCGTATGGGTCATGATGCATTAATTACGAACTTGGTGAGATCCTGCATTGGTTTGGGTTTTCTTCATGGAATCTACTCAGTAAAGGAAGCCAAAGATAGAGTATATGCATTGGTCGGAAAGCTAAAAGAGTCTGGTTTATTGTCTGATAGTTATTCAAATGATCATTTCACCATGCAAGATATTGTTCGCAGTGGGGCTTTGTCAATAGCATTTGAGGAGAAGCATGTATTTACAATGACAAAGGGAAAAATAGATGAATGGCCTGATGAGGATCAACTTAAAAGGTACGCTGCTATTTCCTTACAACATTGTGATATCATTGGCGAGTTTCCTAGAATGATGAATTGCCCCCAACTTAGATTCTTCCATGTTGACAATGGTTATCCACGTGTGAAGTTACCAGACAACTTTTTCGAAGGAATGAAAGAACTCAAAGTGTTGATATTAACTGGTTTTGATCTATCACCCTTACCTTGGACAATTAGATACCTTACGAAGCTCAGAATGCTTTGTTTGGAGGAATGCACACTAGGTGAGAAACTAGCCTATATAGGCGAGTTGAAAAACTTAAGAATTCTTAGTTTTTCGAGATCTGATATTGATAAATTGCCTGCTGAATTGAAGGAGTTAACAAAGCTTCAAATTTTTGACATCAGTAATTGCTCCAAACTTCAAAAAATTCCATCCAATGTAATAAACAGTTTGATTAGTTTAGAAGAGCTGTATATTGGAAACACATTGATTCAATGGAACATTGAAGAACAAACAGATCAAAGTGAACATGCTAGTCTTTCTGAGTTAAGGCATCTGAATCTGTTGACAACTTTGGAAATGCAAATCCCAAATATTGATCATTTGCCAAACAACTTATTCTTTGACAAGTTATATAGTTACAAGATTATTATTGGAGATTTGAAGGCATCTTTAGAGATAGATTTCAAGATGACAGAGAAGTATGAAACATCAAGATTTTTGGCAATACAGTTAAATGATAGCTTTGACATTCATTCTCAAGTGGGTATCAAGATGTTGTTTGACGGAGTTGAGAATTTGTTGTTAGAAGACCTAAATGGATTTGAAGATATGTTTTATAGTTTGAATTTGAAAGGATTTCCATGTCTAAAACATTTGTCCATTGTAAGCAATTTCGACATTCAATCTCTCATCAACCCAACAGACAGGAAGCAACCTGAGGAGGCTTTTCCTAAATTGGAGTCATTGTATCTCTATGATCTCAAGAACTTATTTGAAATATGCTCATGTAAACTTTCAGCATTCTCATTTGGTAAATTGAAAATTGTCAAGATTTATCAGTGTAGTAAACTAGAGAGTATCTTCTTCATTTCTGTGGTTAGACTTCTAATTGTTCTTGAAACAATTGAAGTTTCTGGATGTAACTCTTTGAAGCAGATTGTCCCTGTGGAAACCCGAAGCGACACTGAGCGACTTGAGTTTCCGGAATTACGCTCTTTGATACTACAATCTTTACCTCAATTTACTGGATTCTATCCTACTCCATCAACAAGAGGAGAGACTAGAAAACTATTTCACGAAAAGGTGTGTTTAAAACTGTCATACAGATTTATTTTTATCTTTTGCATTTCAATCTCTGTTTCATATTTTATTTGTTGAAACTAAAAAAGATGGAGTTTGTAAGTGGCATACTTAAAACAGATATCTTTTCTGTAGAGAAAATGAATTTGAGAAAGTCAAAATCAATTCTTTAATTTTTAGAGACCCTAATGTGTGTTGCTTCGCAGGTTATAGTTACCAAATTAGAGAGAATGGAGTTGTCATCAATGCAAATTGACATAATATGGAGTGACCAACCATTACTACGTTCCTGTTTTCAAAATTTGATTCACTTGGATGTGAATGAATGTAGGGATTTAAAATATTTATTATCATTTTCAATGGCCAAGACTCTGGTGAATCTTCAAAACCTTTCCATGAGCGAATGTGATAACATGAGGCACATCTTTCTCCAAAGGCAAGATAGCCATGCTGAAATGAAGGTACATAACTTGGTTGGGGCTAGGTTCAATTTTTAGATCTCTTTGTATGCCTTCAATTTACTGTGGAACTAATACCGTAAAAAAGAACCAAAAAAACTAAACTGAACTTAAAATAATTGATTTTTGAACAATGTTCATGAACCAAATTGTCTCCCCTCCCCCCTTCCCTCTTCTCCCTTCTCCCTTCTATTCTTTTTTGTATTTTTTATTTCTCTCTCTATTTTATTTATTTATTTAGCCGCTTCTTTTAATTTTATCTTTATTTTCATTACTTTATTTCTTTTCATTTTAAAATACCTTCAACCCGAACTGGTTCCTAACCAAATTGAATGGTTTTCGAACCAACTTGAACTTTTTCGAATTGTCCTGAATCGTTTTCGAACCGAACCAAACTAGTTTGGGACAAGAAAAAAAAAAACTTTGATTCTTTGAACCAAATTGATTTAAGTTCTTAAAAAAATCAATTCAATTTGACCCATACGTACTCCTAAATACCCCGTTATTGGTGTTAGAGAATTTGAAATCTCTATTTGTAAGGTGTCCTTTGATACTATAAACTAATTCAGTAACATACACAGGATTTGCAAAAATATGAAGCACCCTAAAGTAACATGTCTTCAATCTCTCCTATAATTAAGATTTTAATTCGCAGTCTTGGCTGCACTATTGTGATTTTGAGAATTACTATGACTGATTTTGTTTGTGTTGTTATTCATAAAAGTCGTATTTGTCCATTTTTTTTTTTCACAATTGCTATAATAATAATACAACAATTTCCTAATCCAAACCCCAACTAAAACTATTATAATCAAGTTACTTTCTACTTTCTCTTTATTGATTTGGTTTGCTTTACATTTGACATTTTTGTTAATTGGATTTACTTATGGCAATTGTGAACTAAAGCAGGGCAGCATCTTTCCAAATTTGAAAAAAATCAAACTGAGTAGCATGAAAAGTCTGAGTGAGATATGGAATTCTGAACTCCCTTCAGATTCCTTTGGCAATCTGGATACTCTGATCATCGAGAAGTGCGATAAATTTGTCAATGTCTTTCCTTCTTACTTGAAGGGAATATTCCGGAGTCTATGCAACTTGAGTGTTACTAATTGTAGGTCCATGAAAGTGATATTTGACCTAAATAATAAAAATGGAGATGCTAGTGATGTAGCCAACTTGCAAGATGTTCATTTAGAAGCGCTCCCAAAATTGAAGCATGTATGGAAAAGGAACGAAGACTGGGAAATTATTCTTAACCTGAAAAAGCTGCAAAAGATATGGGTTCATGATTGTGGCAGCTTAGAATATATATTTCCAGTTTATGAAGCCAAGTGTCTTCCCAATCTTGAATACCTTGTGGTATGGGATTGCTCTGAATTGAGGGAAATTGTTGCTGGGGGAAAAGGTACCAACACCGACTCAAGCAATTCTAATCCATCATTTGAGTTTCCTAATCTAATCACCATCAAATTTTCGAAGCTGCCAAAACTTGAGAGTTTCTATCCAGGACCAGATAAATTAAGTTGTCCAAAATTGAACGACTTGTGTGTCGAACTTTGTGACAAGTTGGAACCATTTAGAAAAGATACCGCAGATGAAGAAGGAAAGTTTGTGCTCTTTCCTGAAGAGGTACTAGTTTGTGCTCTTACTAAATTATAGAAAAACAGAGTAAAAACCATTATAGAAATGAGAAAAAAATTCAATTCATTTTCATATATCTATACTCTCTTGATTTTTCATCGTCTATTTCTTACAGGTAATCAATCAATTGAAGTGCTTGCAAATTGAGTCATGGCATGTAAAGTTGTCAAGCAGCTACATGGGGGAAGGGAACTATCGAAGGAACAAATTAGAAGAGCTTCGCTTGTCTAAATTAAATAATACTGAGGTTCTATATTCTTTCCTTCATAGCAATCCTAATCTGAAAAGCCTATCATTGATTCATTGTTTCTTTAAAGAGATGGTTCCTCTCACAAGGCCTCCTGAAATTCAAAAAAAGGGGGTTGTTCCAAAGCTGAAAAGTTTGAAGTTAATAGACTTGCCTAAGCTTGAGAAGATAGGCTTTGAACGAGACATACTTTTACAAAGGATAGAATTCTTGATTTTAGAAAGCTGTCCTGGTTTGGTCTCCATTGTGCCTTCCTCGGTATCTCTCACCCACTTGACAAATTTGGAAGTGGTTAATTGTGATGCATTAGAAAATTTAATGCCACCTTCGACTACAAAAAGCTTGATTCATCTCAGAACAATGAAGGTAATCAAATGTGAATCTCTGAAGGAAATTGTATCCGAGCAAGGAAATGCAGACAAAGTTGACATTGTTTTCAAACAATTAAAAAATCTAGAACTTGTGTCATTAAAGAACCTCGAAAGTTTCTGCAGCTCTAACAGTTGTGTCTTCGAGTTCCCATCACTGGAGAAATTAGTAGTGAGTGGATGCACCAAAATGAAAAATTTCTCAGAAGAAGTCAAGTGCACATCAATTTTACAAAAAATATATGTTGTACATGAACAAGAGAAAATATGGTACTGGCATGGTCATTTAAAAGATACTATACAAAAAATGTTTGCGGAAAAGGTATGTTCATATTAACTTATGAACTGAATTTTCATTGTCTTTTGTGTTGTCTTCTTAACAATTAATGTAAAACAAATAATGATATTCATAAAAAAAAAATTGAATGATAATTATGATTTAGTACCGGGATTCAGCTTTTATCCATTTTACTACTTGCTCGAGTTTTTCTTTTCGATTTAATGATGTTGATTATAAAAGCAGTGTAATGATGTTTGTATGCTGTCATTTGGGGCAGATGAAATATGATAAATCTGATGATATATTTATTTGCAATATTCACAGAGGTTTTTTGAAGGCATGGAGGAGATGAGTCTTTCCGAACTTCCTGAGCTACAACAAACCTGGGATGACGGAGTTGGTATAGAAAACAATTGGTTTTACAGTTTGAAAACTTTGAAGCTGGTCAACTGTGAAATTCAATCACCATACGCAATTCCGTCACATGTTCTTCCTTATTTAAATAGATTAAAAGAATTGGAAGTACGGTATTGTCACCAAGTAAAGGCAATTTTTGATATGAATGTCACTGAGATTATCGGAACGACATTCCAGTTGAAGAAATTGACTTTAGAAAGGCTATGCGAGCTAACACATGTTTGGGAAAATGGTCAAGGAATTCTCTTATTCCAAAATCTGCAACAAGTCTTTGTCAGTGGTTGTCATAAACTGGAAACTCTCTTTCCCACTGCCCTGGCCAAAAATCTTAAGAAGCTTGAGAAACTTACAGTACAATCTTGTGATATGTTGGAAGAAGTTGTTGGACAGGAAGAAGCAACAGCAGCAGCACAAGTACCAGAAATTGCAGTACTATCTTGTGATATGTTGGAACAATTCGTTCGACAGGAAGAAGCAGCAGCAGCAGCACAAGTACCAGAAATTACAGTACAATCTTGTGATATGTTGGAAAAATTTGTTGGACAGGAAGAAGCAGCAGCAGCAGCAGCACAAGTACCAGAAATTAGAGTACAATCTTGTGATATGTTGGAAAAATTTGTTGGACAGGAAGAAGCAGCAGTAGCAGCACAAGTACCAGAAATAACAGTAAAATCTTGTGATATGTTGGAACAATTTGTTGGACAGGAAGAAGCAGCAGCAGCAACACAAGTACCAGAAATTACAGTACAATCTTGTGATATGTTGGAAGAATTTGTTGGACAGGAAGAAGCAGCAGCAGCACAAGTACCAGAAATTACAATACAATCTTGTGATATGTTGGAAAATTTTGTTGGACAGGAAGAAGCAGCACAAGTACCAGAAATTATAGCACAAGTAACAGAAAAGTTTGTCTTCCCTCGTCTAACCTTGCTGGATCTTTCTGATTTGCCACGTCTCCATCACTTTTGCCCCGAAACAATCCCTCTGGAATGCCCCGCGTTAAATTATTTATCTGTGTTGAATTGCGAGTTGGATCTATTTCAAAGTGCACATCAATGGGTAAGTATTCAGTCGTTTAAAATAAAATGAATTTTTTTTTTCGCCACGTTTCGAGACCTGATTAAAAAGAACAATCCTCTTGCTGCTTAAACTATTCATTGTTGATATATAATGATTGTCATGTGCTTAAAATTGTACCAATCTAATAAATAGTTTTTTAATCCCCTATTTTGATAATTTATTTCTTATAATACCCATATTTCGTGGAAAATAATTGAGAGCCTAGAACTCTCAACTTTTGTTCTTTTCATCTTCTAATTCGCAGCCCTTTCTTTTGCCTTTACTAGACGATTTCCAATCTGGAGGAATTGGCGCTCGATGGGAAACATAAGTCAAGGTTATCAGAGTCTCCCGAAGAACTCACATATTTAAATAAACTTATGTTGTCTTTTGATGGGGATGAGAATGAGAAGCCTACTTTGCCATTTGAAATCCTGGAGAAGGCACCCAATTTAGAAGATATGAGAATATGCTTGGTCTCAGGAAGGCCCGAATTTTTTGAACCAGGGATGCCTAGAAACTTGAAAATGTTGACACTGCATGGAGTTCATGAGCTTAAGTCCATCGGGTCACGGGACTCATCATGGTTAAACACACTCTGCCGAAAGCTCCACAAGTTATATGTTTATGAGTGTCCTGAGTTGACAACATTAGTACATTCTCCTTCTGATGTATCTTTCTCCTATCTAAAGGAATTGATTATATGTGGATGTCCTCAATTGGAGTATTTGTTCACATCCGCAGCAACAGAAAAGTTAACAAACCTTGAGAAGATTGACGTCATGGAATGTGAATCAATGAAAGAAATAGTGAAAAAAGAGCAAGACAAAACAACTTCAAATAAAGGGATCCAATTTGAGCGGCTGAGCTGGATATTTCTAAATGGTTTATCAAGCCTGAAACATTTTTATTCAGGCTATGACACTTTGCAATTACCCTCTTTGATACAAGTAGACATATTGGATTGCTCCCAAATGGAAACATTTTCCCAAGGATCAATAGATGCAAGATGTTTTAGAGGAATTCAAGGTTCTGCCGACTCTAATGATGATTTGATCTTCCATGATGATGTTAACACCTCAGTAGAAAAGGTGCTTCTTCTACAGCAGGTAAGGACTCTTCCAAAGAGATTAATCATGACCTCAATTTTTGCATTAATTTAATTAATCTCTTCATACGAGCCGTATTCAAACAATCAATTATGGCATTGGATAACTGTGAGAGAAAAACATAAACCATTAAAAAAACTCTCACCCAATAGCTTAAGCTTTTGGATTGAATCACAAATCTCTCAGATCCTCATCTCCCCCACACTTTCTCTTGTGGAATTTCTTAACACAGGTAGGCTAGGCCTGATGCATCACCTACCCTTCAAGCACAATGGGCTCTTATGTGAAGGGGCGTGTTAGGGATATATTAAACCATTAAGGTAGCATCACCCAATAGCTTAAGCTTTTAGGTTGAATTGGCGCTTTACATGATATCATTTAATTATTAATTATTTAAGTCTTGTAGAATTTCTTAGTACAGGTAGGTGGGCCTGTGCATCGTTCGCCCTTCAAGCCCAAACGGCTCTCGTTTGAGGGGGCGTATTAGAGATATATAAAATCATTAATGTAACCTCACCCAATAGCCCACGTTGTAGTGTAATTAAATAAAGTGCAAGGTAAAACAAAAAATTGGGACTGTGTGATATCTACGCTTCAAGCCCAAAGTGCTCTTGTGTGAGTGGGTGTGTTAAAGAATAATATAAACCATTAAAAAAGTCCTCACCCAATAACTTAAACTTTTGGATTGAATTGGTTCTTTACAATAACAATATCTATATACTACCTTTCCTTACTATTATGATTCTAATATTTTGATAATTTGTTAGGCACTTAATATGTTAATGAGTTTTCTATCATTATATTTATGAATATATTTTACTATTTATCTCGCAAGAAATGTTAGCCATTTACATTATGTGTATTTTTTTAAAAACAATTGGGTCATAGTGTCATTTACACTTGTACAGCTAAGGCTTAGAGGGGATTTTACATTTTACACCTCTGTTGAGTAAATTTATAATCATATGTAACTATATAAAATAAAATTGTTGTACAAAACAATCAAGCGCTCAAATGCCAAGTCATGTATTGGTTTAAGCTTTTGATGGAACAACCCTTCCCTTTAGTAGAAAGAAAAATGCTTATAATGAGGTATAATGCTGAACAAAAGAGATTTGCGAAGAAGAGAAATCGAGGAATTATAATATTTCAATTTAACCAATAAAAAAGAGAGTAGTACATCACATTTGAAACTCTACATAATAACAAACAATAGTATGCATCCTTACATAAATATTGAGTACTGAGTAGTTCAATGTCTTTATTCCTTAGCTTACCAGGTATGATATACAGTTCGGGGATTATCCAATATTGGAAGAGATATGGCTTAAGCCAGAGCCAGTACCAAGCTGGTGTTTCCTCAACTTAACTTCTTTATCTGTGGTTGAGTGTGATTTTTTATCAGATGCCATACTACCTTCTCATTTACTTCCTTTCCTATGTAACTTGGAAGAGTTGCAAGTGCAAAAATGTAATTTTGTTAGGGCAATATTTGATCATATGATTAATATGGGAACTGCTTCTGACCCCTTCTCCATTCGGTTAAAGAAACTGATTTTGGAGCAATTGCCATGTCTTGAACATATTTGCAATAAGGATCCTCAAGGAAGTCTCAGCCTTCCATTTCTAGAAGAAGTTTGGGTTGATGGATGTAAAGGTATAAAAAATTTGTTTCCAGCATCAGTAGCCAAAGATGGACTACAAGAACTTCATGTGATAAACTGTGAAGGGTTAGTCGAAATTTTTGCAGAGGATGAAGCAACCAAAGAAGAAGCAAACAAAGAATTTATTGTATTACCCAACATAACTTCATTGAGGCTACGAAATTTGCCAAACCTGAGGTGCATTTATCCTGGAATGCACATTCTAGAATGGCCTAATTTAAAAGAATTAGATGTTATGCTGAAGATTCTTCTTAAGGAATTTCAAAATTTTCCAGATTCACATCCAGAGGGTCAAGATATTTCTCCAACAGACGGGCAAGACTTTATCTCACTTGAAAAGGTATGAACTGTTTTTGTATGTGAAAGCCCTCGCCTCAACTCTTTGCATTTTGTGCTTATACAATTATTGTTGTGATATATAGAATCGTCATTGTGTTACAATTCATCCTGTGTTTGTGTATAAGGCTATTTATCTAGAGATGAGAAATTCTTAGATAGTATAAAAAAAAAAAAATTCTTAGATAGTCAGTGTACAGAATAATAGGCCAATGATTGTCCAACAGATTTGTTATTGATGGTAATTGCCATTAGAAAAATTGCTTTTAACTACTTAAACTTGCTATTTCTATTTCCTTAGTTTCCATGATATGTCTGGAGATGCATTGGCATGTAAGATACAAAGATTCTCATGGATATTATGACATCTTAGATATTTAGGTATATTTGAAGTTCATGTTTTGTGTTCCCTCTCTAGGAGTTATTTCTCCTTAATTAGAAACATTATTCGACTATGAAAAGTTAATGTCTTTTCAAGTTCTTATGCATAGAGAAAAGCAAAAGACTTCATAGAAAAATGAAAGGCTGCATTGATATCTTCCTCATTAAATGGAGAATAATCCAAAATATAGAAAAGAGCCCTCCTAGCCATCTATAAATTAAGGAGGAAGAAAAAACTTGAAGCATCAAACATAAGAAAAAATCCTCAAGCAAGAGATAGAGAGACAATTTGTAATCCATCCTTCTATTGGGTGAGGAATTAAAAGTAAGCCTCTCAATTTCATATTAGAGGAAATACCTATTGCAATCTCATTTTCATAACGGATCATTTTTCTTGGACCTTTAATCCCATGGTTTTTACTCCTCACATTGAGAGAGTTTTTCACGTTAAAAAATTGTTTTCTCTTCATCTTTACCATTATCGCTCTTTTTTTTCTTATTCATACAAATAGGGAATAGTAATTTTTTTCAAAAGTGGTATTGGAGCTTTTATATCAAGGGCGCTATGAGAATTAAGATGAATATTATTGTCACTCATGATAGTGAGTAGTGACACACTGAAGCTCACTATGGAGAATCACTCGTACTGAAGACCCGTGATAGAGAACCACCTTTACTACAAGGATCTATATGAGACAATCCTAAGCGTGGAGAAGCCAAAATGAAAGAGCAATAAAGATTGGGAACTCTTGAAAAGCCAAGCATTTGCAATGATTCACAAATACATCGACAAAAGTTTGTTCTAGCATGTGTCAACATACACCAACATTCATGAACTACGGTCAAAGCTAGAATCTATGATCCAAAAGAAAACGTCTCATAATAAAGCTCAGCTGGTGCGGCGGTCATGAAGTTGAAGTATAAGGACGGACAAAGGATGATCAAACACTTGAACACCACCTACAAGGGACTCGTGAATCAATTGGATGAAAATCGATGATGAGTTGCAAGCCCTTTTGCTCCTTAGTTATGTACTCAAGAGTCAGGACACATCAGTCATTACTTTAAGTAACTCAGCCCAGGAAGGGAAGCTCACCATGGATTCTGTAACAAATAGCCTTTTGAATGAAGAGGCCAGGAGAAAACAAGGAGAGATAACATACTAATGAGGCCAATGTCATAGAAAATCATGGGAATTTTGAGAACCAAGGAAGGAGCAAAAACCAAGGATTAGATAAGTCTCAAGATCAGTCGAAACCTAAATATGAGATAGCATGCTATTATTTTGGGAAGCTAGGCCACAAGAAATTGGGATGTCAATTTCTCAAGAAAGACCAAAAGGTCGAAAATGTCAAGCTGGACCAAACAAATCCAAAGAAGCATAAAGAGAAAAGGAACATGGTTATTGCAACAATTGTCAAAGATGATATCTTCCTAATTGGGGAAAGATAATTACCTTAATGTCGTATATGAATACTGTTTGTGGAGTTGACTTGATTACATCCTTTCATGCTACTCCTCGCGAAGGTTTCTTTTTATCCTAGCAGTAAAAATGGGAAACCAATTTACTAGCAAAAGCATAAGGATTGTTAATGTCACTTTGATGACCAACATGAGATGCAAGTTAATACTTAAGGAGGTAAGACATGTTCCCAACATACTACTCAACCTCATCTCAACTGGGAAACTTGACAATACCGATTTAGTAAATCATCTTGGAGTGGGCAAATGGAATCTCGTCAAAGGGAGTATGTTCATTGCTCGAGATAAGAAAGAAGGAACCATGTATATTATACAAGGAAGAATTAGCAAAGGAGAAGTCAATGTTGTCCAAGATGAGTCAAGCATAGAGCTATGGCACAAAAGGTTTGATCACGGGTGCCAAATATCAAGTCCTCCAAGCATTTAAGGAGTATCATGCCATGGTAGAGTGACAGACATGGAGAAAACCGAAGTGCATGTGATCTATAATGGTGGTGAGTACTGTGGTCTATTTAAAGTATATTGTAACACTCCGTGTGCACCCGGTGTATCACGCAAGGGAACTCAATTTCCAAAAACATACCATGTATATAAACCATCCTCCCTCGGAGTATGGTGGAACAAATAGAGAATTAACCTCAAGGACCGAAAGCTTACTTCTTGAAGGGATGTCCTCCAATGTACTCCTTGAATCCAAGGGGTCACAAACACAAACTCTCACAATATCACAACCTATTTCAAAGATGTGAAGACAATCAGTACATATACTAGTCTACCATATTCAATTCAACATTATCTTTTGCTCATTTATACGCTTAAGGCTTTTTCCAACAACCATAAGCAACAGATAATTAAGTAGGGACTTAAACCATAGTAAGGTGACTTTATTTGGCCTCATTAAGCCCTCTTATCAGTATTAGAATGTTTCCGTATAGGAAAACATAAATTTTCCCGAAAACAAGGCAATATCCTC